ATGGACTTAAGAAGGCACATTTTATATGGCAGTGAATGCTATCAAGTTAATTTGCAATATCATAAAAACAAAGCCTGTGTAATTCCCTCTGAGAGAAGCTTATATGAATGGATTTAAATCTGTCTGAGGCCAGATGGCCCCTCGTGATCCCCTAAAAGGAAGACAGCCTTTTTGTGGTGGTTAAGAAAGACGTTTGGCCTTTGGTGTTCACAGAAGCCATTTCGTTGTGCCCATGAGACCAGTTATTGGAGTCATTGTGCCATAAAACCAGTCACTGGAAAGTTTTACACAACCTCCAACCACAGGGTGTGGCAGAAGGAGACATTGCTCCCCTATCCTAAATATGCAGTCCTAGTGCCTCCGGCTACTATTCTCTCCCTAATAATAGCCAGACTAATCTAGAAATATTCAACTCTACAACTGTAGAGTTTGCAAAGTAACTTCACCTCTCACCTCCTTTGACTTCATAGTCTAGCCTTGGTGGTTCCCACGGTAACCTGTGAGAGAGATCCTGTCACATGGCAGCTCACAGCCCTTTGCAACCAGATTCCATTCTATGAATCTGCTTTTATTTCCCATCCTTCCTGGCAATTCAGCATATTGGACTATTCACCATCTCCTAAATACCACACAGCCTTTAGTCCCTCTGTCTTTTCACTATACTCTTCCTTCCTATCTCTTGTGTTTTGAAGAACTCTGTCTCAGCCTGTAGTCAGGCCTACACATTACCTCTTACTATAAATGTTCTGCTTTCCTTTGCCTCAGCAGAATTCATTGCTCTTGTTGTGGGCACATATGGTTTGATAATACTGTACAGTACATTTATTAAGCAGTTTGACTTCTCTTAGTTTTTCTTTCCTTATTGAGTACTTCTGTGTTTTTCAGAGGAATTTTTTGAAACCTAAATACCAAAGAATATTATATATAAATGTAATATTTTAGTATTAATAACAGAAATGTGAACATAGACTTAGATAATAATTACAACTAGTTTCCTATGGGTCTGTTTGATCCTTGAGCACAGCCATCCTGATGTATTCATCTTTGTATCCTAAGCATAAGAGTCCAAGTCCTGAGACATAACAAATGAGATTGAATCATTATGAAGTAGACAGGGGAGATAGTATTATCATCATTTTGCAGATTGAAATTGAGGACCAAAATGCTAAGCAATACAATGATTTAGTTATTATGTGCTGACTACCTCTCCCCGAGTTTACCAGTAGAAGCTACAGAGACCTCTGAAGGACTTATACCAACTCTACATAGTATCAAAGGTAGGGTTTCTCAGAATATTGTCTGGGACAACCTGTCATAGACTGACTTCTGGAGATACTTATTAAAAGTATAAAATCAGATCTCACAAATGTAATTTTGAGCAAAAAAAAGCCAGACACATAAAATCAGAAATGAAAGAGAGGACAGTATGACCAATTTTACAGAAACAAAAAGTATTAGAGTCTTATGAGCAACTATGTGCCACAAGATTGGATAACCTAGATGGAAGGGACAAACTCCTAGAAACGTACAACCTACCACTGAATCTCAAAGAAGAAGAAAATGTGTCTGAACAGACCTATAAGGAGAAAGGAGATCGAATTGGTAAAAAAACAACCACAAAAAAGCTGTCCAACAAAGAAAATTCTAGGACCAAAGGCCTCACTAGTGAATTCTACCAAACATTTAAAGAAGAACTAACACCAATCCTCTCAAACTCTTCCCAAAAATTGAAGAAGAGGGAATTCTTCCTAATTCACTCTGTGAAGCTAGCATTATCCTAATACTAAAGTCAGAAAAAGACACCACATGAAAAGAAAACTACAGACTAATATCTCCATATGAATATTGATGCAAAAATCCAGAACAAAATACTAGCATACAGAATTCAGCAGCACATTAAGAGGGTTTTTCATCATGACTAAGTGGGATTTATTCCTAGAATGCAGGGTGGTTCAGCATGAAAATGAATCAGCATAATACACCACATTAAAGAATGAAGGGGGAAGCCTACATGATCATCTCAGTTGATGCAGAAAAAGCATTTGACAAAATTTAACACCATTTCAGATAAAAACACTCAACAAGCTAGAAATAGAAGGAAAGTACTTCCACATATTAAAAGCCATACATAAAAAGCCCACAGCCAACATCATATTCAATGGCAAAATACTGGAAACCTTTTCTCTAAGATTAAGAACATGAAAAGAATGCTTATTTTCATGACTTCTAATCAACATAGTACTGAAAGTCCTAACCAGAACAGTTAGGCAAGAAAAGAAATAGAAGGAGATTATGTGTTGGAAAGGAAGAAGTAAAGACACAATCTCATATGTTAAAAAATCCTGAAGATTATACATACAACACACACTTGTTAGAACTAATGAACTAATTCAGCAAAATTGCAGGATACCAATTAACAAACAAAACTCAGTATATACGAAGTTACATACAACATTAAACAATCTGAAAAGGAAATTAAGAAAATAATGCTAGTTACAGTAGCATTAAAAAGAACAAAATACTCAAGAATAAACTTAACCAAGGAGGTAGAAAACTTGTACACTGAAAACTACAAAGTATTGCTGAAAGAAATTAAATAAGACACAAATGGAAAGACATCTTGTGTTCATGGATTGGAAGATTTAATACTGTTAAAATGTCAGTACCATCCAAAGTGATCTGCAGATACACTGAAATCCCTAGCAAAAACCCAACAATTTTTTTCTTACAGAAATAGGAAAATCTATCCTAAATTTTATATGGGCCTCAAGGGCTTCTGACTAACCAAAACAATCTCAAAGTTGGAAGTCTCACACTTCCTGATTTCAAATCTTACTACAAAGCCACAATGATCCAGTGCGGTACTGGCATAAAGACAGATATATAAACCAATGGAATAGAATAAAGAGCCCAGAAATAAACCCATGTGTGTGTGTGCACTGAAATAATTTTCAACAAGTGTATGAAGACCATTCAATGGGGAAAGAGCAGTTTTTTCAATAAATGTTGCTTGTAAAACTGGACGACTACATGCTAAAGAATGAAGTGTACCTGTGTCTTATGCCATATATAAAAATTCAGAGCAGATCAAAGATCTAAACATAAGAGCTAAAACTTATTTAAAAGAGCTAAAGCTGTTATATTTTGTCTATGACAAAAACATTGGGGAAAAACTTTGTGACTGCATTTCTCATTGATTTCTTGGATATGACACCAAAAGCATAAGCATCAAAAGAAAAATTAGATAAATTGGACTACATCAAAATTTTAAATGTTTGTGAATCAAAGGATAGTATCAACAGAGTGGAAAGGCAACTCATGGAATGGAAAAAATATTTGCAAGTCATATACCTGATAAGAGGTTAATATCCAGAATTTGTAAGACACTATAACAACAACGGCAGCAGAACAAAATAAAAACTTTAAAAATGGGCAAACAACTTGAATAGGTATTTCTCCAAAGAAGACATACATACGACTCACAGGTAAAAGGAAAGGTGCTTATTAGGGAAATACAAATCAATACTACAGTGAGATGGCTACCAGCAAAACAGAACAAAAAACAGAAAATAAGTGTTGGGTAGGCAGTGGAGAAATTGGAATCTTTGTGCACTGTTGATGAGAATATAAAATAGTACACCATTGTGGGAAACAGTATGTTTTTAAACAATTAAAAAGCAGATTACTGTATGATCCAGCAATTCCCCCTCTGGGTATATAGCCATAAGAACTGAAAGCAGGGACTTGAACAAATATTTGTATACCCATGTTGGCAGCATTACTCACAAAAGCCAAAAGGTGGGAGCAACCTAGGCATGTACTAACAGATGAATGGATAAACAAAATGTGTTATGTACACATGATAGAATACTATTTAGTTTTTAAAAGCTTGTACATTCTGACACATACTACAATGTGGCTGAATCTTGAAGACGTGCTAAGTGGAATAAGCCAATCACAAAAGGGCAAAGACTGTATGATCCCTCTCACATGAGATACTCAGAGCAAACTTATACAGACATAAAGTAGAAGGGTGGTTGCCAGACCAGCCAGAGGAGGGAACAGGGAGTTATTGTTGAATGGGCACAGAGTTTCAGTTTTGCAAGATGAAAACATTTCTGGAGATGGATAATGGTGATGGTTGCACAACAATGTGAATGTACTTAACGGCCACTGGACTGGTCATTTAAAAAGGGTTAAGATGGCAAATTTCATGTTATAGGTATCTTACCACAGTTTTAAATGTTCTAATTAAAAATTTAAAAAACAAGATACAAAAAAGTATATACTTTATAGTTCCATGTACTTAAGGTACAAAAATGAAGCTGTGGTGTCAGATGTCAGGATGGTGATTAACTGTGGGAAAAGCAAGTAACTGGAAGAGGCATGAAGAGGCTTCTGGGATGCTGGCAATGTTCTTTGTCTGATCTGGGTGTTATGACATGGGTGTGTACAGTTTGTGAAATTCTTGGAGCTATACGTTTGTGATTTGTACCATTTTCTATATGAATGTGACTCTTCATAAAAGATTTCAAAAATGTAGATCATGAGCCCCACAGCAGACTACAGAATCACGATCTCTGGGGATGGGACCAGGGACACTGCATTTTTAAGATCCCGCCTTCCAAGTTTTTCTTAACATGAGAATCTTTACTAAAGGAAGAAGATTAGGTAAATGTCCTTCCAGTGCCCAAGAATTGTTCAATTTTGTTCTAACAATAAATATTCCTTAGAAAAGAAATTCTTGCTATCCTGGAGTCATTTCCCATCTCCTGTTAGGAAAATGCATGATATATTTTAGATGCTGAGAACCAAAAAATCAATGACATGCGGAAATGTATAATTTAAGATACTACACTTTAAAATACTTATTCTAATTTGCCATACATGCTATAACTTATGAATATTTTATTGAGGCTCTCTAAAAATGACAGGTGCTAGGACCTAATGGACTTCAGGCACCTTCAGTAGGAGGCGAACATCACACCTTGGGTGTGGTGCCATGGAAGCAGGTACAGAAAAGCCAGTTCTTCCACATGCAAGCTGCTTAGATTCCATTTCTGCTCTCTTCATACCATCTCCAAGGTATCAGCAGCTTTACATTTGCTTGTTAAACCTGAAGCATGTTTCTTGCAAAGGCTTTATTGGAAGGAGCAGATCGAGGTCTTGGAGAAGCTCTTGGTGGCCTTCTTGGACGAGGCGGTCAGAGAAGAGGAGGAGGAGGAGGAATAGTTGGAGGAATTGTGAATTTTATTAGCGAGGCTGCAGCAGCTCAGTATTCCCCAGAACCGCCTCCCACACCGCAACATTTCACTAATGTGGAGGCCAACGAAAGTGAGGAAGTTAGGCGGTTTCGACAACAGTTTGCACAGCTGGCTGGACCGGACATGGAGGTGGGTGCCACTGACCTAATGAATATCCTCAACAAAGTCGTTTCTAAGCATAAGGATCTGAAGACCGACGGCTTCAGTCTTGACACCTGCCGGAGCATTGTATCTGTTATGGACAGTGACACCACCGGGAAGCTGGGCTTTGAAGAATTTAAGTATCTCTGGAACAACATCAAGAAATGGCAGTGTGTTTATAAGCAACACGACAGAGATCATTCCGGGTCTCTGGGAAGGTCTCAGCTGCGGGGTGCTCTCCAGGCAGCAGGCTTCCAGCTAAATGAACAACTTTACCAAATGATTGTCCACCGATATGCCGATGAGGATGGAAATATGGATTTTAACAACTACATCAGCTGCCTGGTCCGCCTCGATGCCATGTTCCGTGCCTTCAAATCTCTGGATAGAGATGCAGATGGCCTGATTCAAGTGTCTATCCAAGAGTGGCTGCAGCTGACCATGTACTCCTGAAGTGGGCGCTGAGGAGTCAGGACCCTCCCTAGACGTCAGGACGGCAGCATGCCTCGCAGTGCCGTCTTCCCCATCCACCAGCTGTTCTTTCCTGACGAGCTCTTCTACAAACCGGCGCAAAGTTATGAATTTGTGCTGCCCTTTGCTGCTTAATTAAAACACATTGTTCATGAAAAATGTTCTGAGTGGTTTGTATATCAGCTTTTTGAGATACTGGATTTTTATGGACTTGTGTATGTGATGGCGGGTTGCGGGGTGGAGCGCCAAAGGAGTAGATTTTAATAGGTCATTGCTTGTTTGGTGAATGAATCCCAAGGAGCTGGAAATTTGTTAAGAATGAAATTTTGGAAAAATCCTGAAATAAATCAAGAAAACACTCAGGAGATATATTGTTCCCTTTAAAAAAGACGAGGAGGAAGGAAATCCAAAATCTGTTTTTCTCTTAATGTCACATCTGGGCTTTCCATTATATAAAAAAAAGAAAAGTGCTTTCCTGAAATCTATTTAACTATACAGAAACAGGTTCAGAAATGTGAAATCAAGCAATTTCATATAAGGGTAGTACTTTTTTTAAACGGGCAACTATCTAAAATTGGAGAATTCTTTAGTCCTGTTACTCTAGTGAAATAAGCATGTAGCAATTTTGTTTCATTTTGATATGTTTGTAAAGAGGGTCAGGGTATTAGGGAATGAAAGGTTGTACCCAGGGTCCAAAATGTCTCTGGCTGCCTTAATGAATCAAAATGATCACTCTTACATGTACTTCCTGCAAAATCAGGCATGCCCAGCTAATATTAGCCAGCTCTTGTTACGTCTTGTCCTGCCTCAGAGCAAGAAAGATTCTTTAGTCCCTCTCTGAAAACTGCAGGCAGGAAAAAAGTAAACAAAGAAAAAAAGAGGGAGCTTACATAAATGATAATCAGTTATTTGGTATATAAAGCAATATAAATAAATATAAATATTGCTGACTCTATTACAGTGGTTCTCATCCCTGGCTGCAATTTACACTCACTGGGAGAGATCTTTTGGGAATACTGATACTTGAGTCCCACTCCAAATGAGTTAAATAAGAATCTTTAGAGGTGGGGCCCAGAGATGAGTCTGTTTAAAGCTCCCCCAGGTGATTCTAGTGAGAAGCCATGACTGACAGCCACTGCTTCAAAGGAAGGCTGTCTCACAGTTTCTTTCAAACTGGTCTCAGCCAAAACGGAGGCCCAGCAGGAGAATCGGTGCCGCCAGCGTCCAGGAGAAGGGAGGTAGGAGGACTGAGAAACTGCCACCCCAAATCTGGGCCAGTGGTATCTTCCTTGTGTAGGACCCTTCCTTGCTTTATCATTTGGATTCAGGTGGTTAAAGGGGCCAGCGGAATCCAGAATCCCCAGGTGGGCATATGCGGCTAGAGAGGCTGCCTCTGCCTGGGCTCAGTTCACCTGTCTGCTGTTTAATTGGTTTCTATCCCTCCTGCTTCTTTGGCTTTGAATGCATTCCTTCTCTCCCCAGGCTACTTTGGATCCTCCTGAGCTTGAAGACTTATTTTTCCTTCCTCTTTTGATGCATTTAGAGGAAAACTTAACTGTGGACCTGATGTGACTGGCCTGTTAACAGCCCACAGCTGCCTGTGAGAAATCCCCAGTGAAATTAGAAGGGGTTGGCATTTGGCCTCTTTGTTCACCACCATCACCATCATATAATATTTATGGAACACCACATGCATATAATTCTGCACTGAGCCAAGTGCCGAGACCACATCCACTTTCCTTGAGGAACTTGTAATTTAAGCTCGGTCTAGTCTGCTACTCAGCCCAGGTATGGTTATATAAAGAATGAGGTTGCTGCCAGCAACCACACATTCCTATCAGGATCTCTATTTTAGAATAAGCCCACTAATATCTCAGGCATGGGTGTAGGAATGTAGCCAAGAGGGGAAAGCTGCCAAGGTGACTTTTAAGGTCTCAAACATTATATATAATTTAACCTTTCCACATGATGGTTGTGAAATGGACAAGATAGCCACAATCTTCTTCTCTCACTTCATTTTAAATATTTTATGAAAGTTAAGACAGTTACCTTACACTCAGGGTGGTATTAAGTGTTTCTCAAGCACTTTAAGGGATTACCTACTTTTATGATTCTTTCCCTGAATGCACAGGGCAAAACATCCCACGGCTACCCCAGTTTCCTTCCCGTTCTCTTCTGAATTTGTGTAAAATTTGTGCAAATAATCCCAGTCATTAGAGTGAATGCTAGAACATTCAGTTCAAGTACTGGATTTTTTCAAGTACCCAAATCTTTTGCTTTGTATAGAACCAGTAGCCCAACAAGTGATTGAAATTTCTTAGTTTCATCCAATAGTTGACATTTTAAAGCACATTTTCAATGTATTTACCTGATAATATTTTTTTAATTTTGCTACATCTAAATGGGAAATTACTTAAAGCCTTCAAAGTCTTTGATTCATATAACCCCATCCCAGTAGTTTATAAAGGTTTTAACATTAAGCAATATAACCAATGTAGTTAGTTGAAAATAATACTAAGTGATTTTTTTAAAATATGTGAAGTTGCATTGTCTACTTGTTTTTTAATTTCAAAATATATCCCATATGGTTTTGACAAATACCTCTACCTTGATAGAACCCATTGAATTCTCTAACCTGTAACCTAGCAGGAAAAAGAACAGTGTGCTCTCTACCTAAGAAAAGTAAACCTCCAAAAGTGTTCAAAATTTGTATATCATCTTAAAGGTCACTTTTTCCCCCCCACGCAAGAGATTTTATTATCTGAAAGAGAAAGTAGNGGGGGGGGGGGGAGAGAGAGAGAGAGAGAGAGAGAGAGAGAGAGTGCAGAGAGCAGAGGGAGCAGAGAGACAGAGAGAGCGAGCTTAAAGGTCACTTTTTAAACATTTTTGAGAAGTATGCTTGTTTTTAAAAGTTGATTTATAGCAACAACCTCAGTGAGAAATTTCATCACTAGTATTTCACATCTGACCCGTAGTGAGGTCTTAAAAAATATCTGTGGAGGCACCTGCAGGGCACTGATATTCACTGTGCCTGTTGACTTTGAAGGGCTTTCAGAATTACTTTTTTTAAATGTTTATTTTTAATGTTAGGTGGATTAAAACTATTTAATTCCTAGAAAATTGGTAACACAATTAGGTACATGGGTAGAAATATGCTCTTAATAAGAATATTCAAGTGAAGAGAATACCTCTTGCTCTTAATAAGAATATTCAAGTGAAGAGAATACCTCTTCCCTGACTCTTCTAGAAAACTGAGAATTTACTATGAATTTTAATACTCCTTTGGATTTGTAGAGTATCTTCAAAGACTCAAAGGCTTTTTCTGCTGACTGCTGTATGGTAGGTTCTGTATCATGTAAACATTTAAAAATTATTCTGATGGCATTGATTCTCTCTCATTTGCAGGGGTGTTAGCAATTATATCACTATATTTTCTATCACAAACAATAGAAAATAGTCCCTCTCCTTGGGAGTCTGTTATCATTCAGAACCATATCCTTAAATGTCACCAGACGTTAAAAGTTGTACCAAGTATCTGATTCCGTAGGAATAGAAATGTTGAATAAATCCAGGTATGTAAAACTTTATGGAACTGATGCCTGAAAATCAGACACCTGAAAATCATCCTTTATTCCTCGTGGAATTTTAAATGGACCATGTGTGAACAAGTGGCCCCGAACTTCCTGTGGTCCTGGGAGCCAGTGGAGTGTGACTGTGGGGATGGAAGGCGCCATGAGCTCACAGTCCCACCGTCCTTACTTCCACGCTTTTCTGATCCTGCTGACTGCCAGCAAAGGGATGGGACCCACTGCCTGGCATTGCAGCTAGACTTAGTCACCCCTACTTTCTGCAGTGGCTCACTGCAATTCTTCTGTTTCAACTCTGGGCTATCTTGGCCTTCAGTTTAGGATAGATTATGAAGAGATCAGGGCCTCCTTCTAGAAAGCTGATCTCTCCCTTTGAAATGTGGTCCTGAAATATTTTCAAGTCTAGATTTTTTTTTAAGTTCCTAAGTCTTTCTGAGGAGTTCAATATGTTTTTAAAGGGAAGAACCACAAATTGGAAGAATAATTTTTATCATGGAACTGATTTGAAATTGAAAAATTAAAGGAGTGTCTTTTGCTGAATATTTTTTTTTTTTTTTTGAGAGGGCATCTCTCATATTTATTGATCAAATGGTTGTTAACAACAATAAAATTCAGTATAGGGGGGTCAATGCTCAATGTACAATCATTAATCCATCTCAAGCCT